TTGTTTCCAACTTTTGCATTCCATTCACCAGTGATAATCAATACATCTTGATTGCATGTTTGGTCAATTTCAGACTGCAGAAGTTGGTAGAAATCTTCAATATCCTCATCTTTGGCTTTGGTGGTTGGTGCACAGATTTGAACAATAGTAGTATTAACTGGTCTTCCTTTAGGCATATGGATAGTATCCTATCACTGACAGTGCTGTACTTCAGGACAGATCTTGAAACACTCTTTGTGACAATGAATGCCACACCATTCCTCTTTAATTTGTCATTCCTGGCATGATAGATCATATTGTTGCCTGATTCCAAATGGCCAAAACCAGTCCATTTCAATTCCCTAATGCCTAGGATATTGATCATCATGCATTTCATTTCATTTTTGACAACTTCCAATTTTCTTAGATTCATGCTTTGAACATTCCATGTTTCGATTTTTAACAGATGTTTACATCTGTTTCTGCTCATTATGAGTCATACCACATCAGCCAATGGAGGTCCCGAAAGCTCTACTCTATCCATATCATTAAGGTTGTCTCTATTCTGAGGAGTCAGCTCTTCCCCTATCAAATTTTGAGTGCCTTCCGACCTGATGGGTTCATCTTGCGGCACTATATCAGACAATGTTTCAGGGCTACTCATAAAGTTTTCCAGTAATATCTCAGACAGTGTTTCACTGCTATTCATAAGGTTTTCACTGGCCAATTGTTTGAGAAGTAGATGGCCTCTTCCTTCTTCTGAGTCTGTCTTAGCCCAGAAGCTCTGCTGAAACCTGTCCACCATGGATAACCCTGCTGGCATTTTTGCAACATGGTGGCATAGCCTCCAGCCTCATAGCAACACATAAGCCACCACAGAATTACAAACTGACAGACAAGTTCGTCTCCCTTCTGGTATATATGTGTTCAAATTCCCTTGGGGATATATACTAGGAATGGAATTTCTAGGCTTTAAGGTATTCTTGGCATAGTGGGTAAGGCATATTTGCCTGCTAGTCAGAAGGTGATGGTGGTTCAAACCCACCAGGTGCTCTGTGTGAGGAAGATGAGGCAATTACTTCCAGAAATTCTCTGGGGGTTGCTGTTAGTAGGAATTGGCTCAATGATAGTGGGTTCATTTTGGTTTTGGGTTAAATGCTAGGTAAGAACAAATAATTTTCCAAGTGATTGTAACAGCTGACACTTAAATCAACAATTTCAGATTCTCTTCAATGGCTGGCATTGTAGGGATTTTTGCTTTCTGATAATCAAATGGGTTTAAAATCATGCCTCATTGTGGCATGGGTATTTATTTTGCAGATTATTCATGAGGTCAAATATGTCTTCATAAGCTTATTAGACACATATGTTTTCTTATTGTAAAGTATATATTTTCACTCATTTTCCTATGGGGTTGTATTTTTTGTATTTATTTGTTAAAAAAAAAAAAAAAAAACTCACTGCCATCAAGTTGATTCCAGTTCATACAGACATCTACTGGGTTTCCAAGACTTTATATCTTTATAGAAGTAGATTTCTTCATCTTCCTCCCATGGATCAGTTGGTGGGTTTGAACCATCAATCTTCTGGTTAGCAGCCAAATGCCCTACTCACTACACCACTAGAGCTCCTCATTAATTTCTAGATATTCTTTATATATTTGGGATACTCTAATTAGCACTTCTTCATCATCTTTCTTTTTAGACTTTTACTTAGCTAGTACTTTATGAACTTTTCTTTGCTTCTAAAATACACAGGCTATCTCCCTAACTCAACTACTTGAACAAAGCCCCAGCCAACTACTTTTGCAATTAACATGGCACCTAGAAAAGTAACAGGTATCCAGTATTTGCTCAGTAAATTCTCATTGATAATGGCCAATATAGCGTTGCTTTCTGATTTATGTCATATACCATTACTTGAGTTTTATTGGTAGAAAAATACAATCCATGTTGGGATATATGATATGTACAGTTAGTCCACTATTATTACAAGTTAAAAGCATGATCAAAACTTAAAAGAGACATCGCTATTTTATGTGTTTGCAAATTTGAAAAGTTTGTATTTATTTCCAAAAACATCATGTATTTTTTTCTTCCAAAATGTGTATTAATAATCTAAATACCTAACTCTATCAGTCTCCATAATATTTTCATATTTCAGTACACTTTTTACTTTGAAAAGCTTGAATTAAAATGATAGCAACACCAGGAAAAAAAAATAAGTTTTTATATGATAGATTCATAGATAAAAAGATAAACTAAAAGAACAACATGGGAGAAATAAACTAAATGGCATTTACCTGATCACTGAGAGTAATGCTATGGAATATATGGGAAAGGAAATGTTTTTTATTTTGATTTGTTCTTTTCTTTTTTTTTTTTTAATGACTCAGCCATGAGTTAAAGTGATTAAGAATCCTTAGTTTATCTTTCTCCCCAAAATCCAGTAATAGAAAAATTGCTTATTTTATCTACTAGTCAAAACACATTTTTTATTCAGCACTTAACCAAGCCAAACCAAACTCACTGCCATCAAGTCAGATCTGACTCATAGAGACCCCTCCTTGGGTTTCTGAGGCGGTATCACTACAGAAGTAGATTGCCCAACCTTCCTTCCAAGGAGTGGCTGGTGGGTTTGAACCACCAGCCTTCTGGTTAGCAGTCAAATGCCTTAGGCACTACACCATCATAGCTATGAGTAATATTGTGTAAGACATCAAATATAACCTTGACTTACAGGAGTGGGTAATCTAGTCAGAACTTCAGTGGAATTAGTGCACTAATTGTACACATTTATTTCTTCCACTGAAAAAGTTTATTGTTTACCACTATGACATAACTACTGTCATGGAATTACAAAGAAAAAGACAATTCAGATCCTGACTCCAAGTTAGGATATAGTGTGTCGAGTGTTCTGATGGAGGAGTACATGGGATTCTATGGAAGAATGCAAAAAGAAATCAGGGAAGACTTCCCGGATGAGGGGGCTGTGAGTTACAAAATACCAGAATTAATCAGCTGGGTAGAGGGCATTCCAGAATGTTCAAACTGCACGTGCAATAGCCTAGAGGAGAGAGATAAAGATGAAAGTATATGAGGCAACAGAACCTTCTCCACAAGGAGGAACTGCCAAAAGTCTTGAGAGATTGACAAAAGATGATAGAGAGTTTGAACTTTATCCTCAGGGTAATGGGAAACCACAGAAAGATTTTAAAGAGGAGAGGAATATGATCAGAATTTTGCTCTTGAAAGATCCCTCTGCCTTCAGTATGGAGAAACCAAGAGAGAGAGCTACAACAACAGAGATGTTGATGATACAACCTGGAGTGAACTAGGGGATGTGGAAAAATAGGTAGATATAGGAGATATTATGGGGATGACTAATTGGATGGAGGGCATGTTTTTAGGGAATGAGATATCAAGGATAACTCTGACCTTCTCTTTAAATAAACATTAAGAACATTTTCTTGGCTAGATAAGGGTCATTTTGATATTCTCTAGCCTCAGAAGTGCCAGGAGCTTTGACTGCAAGGCTGGCCTCAAAGGCTTGGCTCCAGGATTAGGCTCCTGCTGCCTGTAACTCCCTAAATAACAGGTAGCCACTTCAGGATCCTGAAAGGGCCAAAGCTGGTCACCATTCCTCCTTAGCCAGAACATTAGAACTGCAGGGCCACTATTTTCCTGGTCCTCAGGAGATTTGCACTCTCAAATATTTATCCCCCACCTTCCACCATCATCTGCAAATACAGGCAAAGCATACTTTTTTCCAAAGACTTCAGAAAACATGTCAGAGGAACAAAATACATTTGCATGATACTCTCAATTTACAGAAAAAAAATTGAACAGCTTTCTGATCAGAGTACTAATAAAATTTTGAGGATATATACTGGGAGCTCTGGTAGCATAGTGGCTAAGACACTTGCCTGCTAACCAGACGGCTGGCGGTTCAAACCCCCCAGCCACTCCTCGGAAGGAAGGTTGGGCAATCCTACTTCCGTAGTGATACTGCCTCGGAAACCCAAGGAGGGGTCGCTATGAGTCGGGTTTGACTCGACGGCACATAACAACAACAACAACAACATTCTGCAGAACTATGAGAGAGAAAATGTTTATGTATTTTCTCAAGGATCATAATTGCAATTTCATACCGTGAAAATCACAGATGGGACCATGAAGTCCTAATTCAATGAGTCATTGGTAAGAATATTTTTTAAAAAAAAGAAAAGAAAAAGAAAAACCTTCCCAATGGATATTGGAGTAACTCACACAGGCGTGCTAAGAGGAACCAGAACATTACATCATACATTCGCATTATGGGAGAAAAACATAGAAGACAAGTAAAAAAGTAGTGGCTGAAGTAGGTAAGGCTACCATTGAGTAACCAGCAGTGATCTAGAGCCTGAGAGCTCTCTAAGTACTGAGTAGGCACTGTACAAAGAATAAACAGACAGGTCTTAATTTAAATGTATAAGAGATAGTGGTGGAAGGCCAAAACCAAACAGCAGCTAAATGGTGACAAACCAAAACCACACCAAACCCACTGCCTTCGAGTCATATCCGACTCAAAGCAACCCCTCCTTGGGTTTCTGAGGCAGTATCACTACGGAAGTAGATTGCCCAACCTTCCTTCCGAGGAGTGGCTGTTGGGTTTGAACCACCAGCCTTCTGGTTAGCAGTCAAATATCTTAAGCATTATGCCACCAGAGCTCCTAAAGGCTTATGTGCATGCCCTCTGACCTCAATACAAGGACCCCATAACAGAAAAACATTTGTATTAGAAAAGAAGATGCCTCACCTGTTTTTGGAAGAGGGTAACTAATATTAAATAAATCTTCCAGAAAAGAGAAGATTGGACCTGTAATGTTCAAAGCAAAGTCTGCATTCCCACTTGCAATGGCGTCTTTTCGGGCCCAGATGCGTATCTAAACCAAAACAATTAAGCGATGATTAGAAAAAGCATTTATGATGCTGGAAAGTGACAGCCAGCTTGCCTCAATTACCTTTTCAGAAGAAACTATATAATGTTGTTGTTGTTGTTATGTGCCCTCGAGTCGGACCGACTCACAGCGACCCCTCCTTGGGTTTCGGAGGCAGTATCACTACGGAAGTAGATTGCCCCATTTTCCTTCCAAGGAGTGGCTGGCAGGTTTGAAAGCCAGCCTTCTGATTAGCAGTCACGTGCCTTAGGCACTATGCTACCAGAGCTCCTAACTATATAATAAAGCAAACAAAATGAAGCCCAAACCCACAGCCAACATGTCCTATAGCAACCCCATAGGACAGAGCAGAATAGCTCCCATGGTGTTTCTAGGCTGTAAATCTTTATGGAAGCAGACTGCCACATTTTCCTCTCCCAGAGTAGCTGGTTGGTTCAGATTATTATTACTTTAGTTAGCAAAAGAGTATACTAACCACTGAGCCACCAGGATTGCGTATCTACATAATAAAATGTTTAAATGCATACATACCAAGAAAAGCCTGGAAGGCTGCTTATTAAAGTTGTAAACAGTAGTTCCTATACATAATGTGTTATTTAAACTTTTTACAATAACATGTATAAATTTGTTATTAAAAAACAATCCTTGGAACAGACCACACTGATATTCATTCCTACAGAAAATTATGTAAAAGGCGATCCCTCTGTTCCTCTTTTGGATATATTCCTAATGATCCAAAACAGAATTCTGCAGTTGGGTGAGGTAGAGGTATGGGCCATTTTAAGCAATTTGAATTATTCAAGTTTAAAACAGTTTGGTGATTAAAACCTTAATAGTCTCACCTTATTTTTGAAACTTGAAATAAGGTAAATTTCCCTAATTAAAAAAAAAAAAATTATCAAGCTTGGAATTGGACCCACTCCTGTGGCTTGGTTCTTAGTCAGACAATAGACAAGTATATGAGCTGAACAATTACAGCAGGGAGATGCACTCCTTGGAGCAATCATACTTGGGGGCCACATTTGCAGAGATGCTCAGGAAGCAAGGATGCTTGGATTAGAGGGCAGGGAGAGGGTAGCCTTGGGGAAGAAGTGGGGGGAGAGCTGTTGCATTGTGGGGATTGTAGTCAGTGTCCTGAAACCAATTGTTTGTGGACTATTGATTGAGAGATGAATCTGCCCTGTAGAATTCCACCCAAATCACAACAAAAAGTTAAAAAAAAAAAAAAAAGAGGGAAAAAAATCATCAGAACTCTTATGATTTTTAAAGTATCCAGACTTATTGGATTTATTGAGGCTAGAGGAGTCTCTGAGACTAAGAACCTGAGATGCTCTTCAAACCTTGAATTGAAACTACTCCTTGAAGTCACTTTTAAACTAAATAACAGTTTAGTCCAAAGAGTAAAAATTATCACTCTTGAGTATTGAATTTTTTTAAAAAAATTATTTATATAAGACCAAAGGGTCAACAGCTATTTTAAAGCATAGATGAGAAGATTGGGGGCCAGGGAAGTTAAGTAAATGGCAGTGAAACAACTAGAACAGAAATAACGAGAAGGTTGGCACAATATGAGGACTATAACCAATGTTGCTGATTATTAAGTCTAGAAACTGGAATGGGAGGACTTTTTATTGTGTATACTTTCCTGAAAAATAAAATTAAATATTAAAAAACAACCCTATGATTTGAAAGGTGTTGAAACAAATGTATTATCAATTCTATTTATGTTATTGTCAATTGGCACCTTCACGTTAGTGGATAAAACTAAACCCCTGCAATGGTTTGCCAGGTATATGTAATCACTCTATTGTTTTGACAATTGGGAATTGCTCTGTGATTTTGTTGACTAGTATGCCACTGTATTAACATAATGTATTATTCATTATTATAATTTTTTTTTTTTACCTTACAGCATCATCTAGGCACTTTTTAATGAGTTGCTAGTATTGATGCTGGGAGCTCTGGTAGCATAGTGGCTAAGGCACTTGACTGCTAACCAGAAGGCTGGCGGTTCAAACCCACCAGCCACTCCTCAGAAGGAAAGTTGGGCATTACTACTTCCGTAGTGATACTGCCTCGGAAACCCAAGGAGGGGTCGCTGTGAGTCAGAGCCAACTCAACGGCAAATAACAACAACAACAACAAGTATTGATGCTAAATAACCATGGAACAAAAGTGTTGTTGTTGTTGTTGTTAGATGCCATTGAGTTGGCTCTGACTCGTAATGATCCTATGTACAACAGAACAAAACACTGCCTTGTCCTGCCCCAGCCTCACAATACTTGCTATACCTGAGCCCACTGTTGCAGCCACTGTGTAAATCCATCTCATTGAGAGTCTTCCTGTTTTTCGCTGACCTTCCTCTTTACCAAGTATGATATCCTTCTTCAGTGAATGGTCCCTTTTGACAACATGATCAAAGTAGATCAGATGAAGTCTGGCCATTCTCACTTACAAGGAGTATTCTGGCTGCACTTCCTCCAGGACACATTTGTTAGTTCTTCTAGCAGTCCGTGCTACTTTCAGTATTCCTCCCCAACACCTCAACTCAAAAGCATCAACTCTTCTTCAGTTTTCCTTATTCATTGCCCAGCTTTCACATGTATATGAGGCAACTGAAAACACCATGGCTTGGGTTAGGCACAACTTAGTCTTCAAAGAGCCATCTTTGCTCTTCAGCACTTTACGGAGGTCTTTTGCAGCAGATTTGCCCAGTGCGATAAGATGTCTGATTTCTTTCTCTCTTTTTTTTTTTAAAGACGTCTAATTTCTTGACTGCTGCTTCCATTGGTATTGTTCATGGATCCAAGTAACATGAAATCTTTGACAACTTCAACCTTTTTCCATTTATAGTGATGCTGCTTATTGGTCCACTTGTGAGGATTTTCATTTTCTTCATGTTGAAGTGAAAGGCATACTGAAGACTGTAGTTCTTTAATCTTCATCAGTAAGTGCTCTGAATATCTTCACTTTCAGCAGGCTAGCTTGTGTCATCTGCATATCCTAAGTTGTTTGAGTCTTCTACCAATCCTGATGCCACATTCTTCTTCACATAGTCCAGTTTCTCAAATTATTTGCAGCATACGGATTGAATAAGTATGTGAAAGGATACACCCCTGAAGCACACTCTTCCTGATTTTAAACCATGCAGTTTACCCTTGTTCTTTTGAATGACAGCCTCCTGGTCTATGTACAGTTCCTTATAAGTACAATTAAGTGTTCTGAAATTCCCATTTTCAATGTTATCCATAATTTGTTGTGATCCACACAGTTGAATGCTTTTGCATAGTCAATAAAATACAAGTAAACACCTTTACAGTATTCTTTGCTTTCCGCCAAGATCCATCTAACATTAGCAATGATAGCCCCCATTCCATGTCCTCTTCTGAATCCAACTTGCATTTCTGGAAGTTCCCAGTCAATATATTGCTGAAACCATTTTTTAATTACCTTCAGCAGAATTTTACTTGTGTGTAATATTAATGATGTTGTTCAATAATTTCCACATTCTGTTGGATCACATTACTTTGGAATGAGTACAAATACGGACTTCTTCCAGTCAGTTGGCCAGGTAGCTGTCTTCCAAATTTCTTGGCATAGACAAGTAAGTGCCTCCAGCACAGCATCTGTTTGTTAAAACATTTCAATGAGTAGTCCATCAATTCCCAGAGCCTTGTTTTTTTCCAAATTTCTTCAGTGCAGCTTTGACTTTTTCCTTCAACATCATTGGTTCTTGATTGTATACCACCTCCTAAAATAGATGAACACTGACCAATTCTTTTTGGTACAGTGACTCTGTGTATTCCTTCCATCTCCTTTTGTTGCTTCCTATATCATTCATTATTTGGCCCAAAGAATGTTTCAATATTGCAACCTGAGGCTTGAATTTTTCTTCAGTCCTTTCAGCTTAAGAAATGCTGAGCATGTTCTTCCCTTTCAGTTTTCTAACTCCAGGTCTTTGTACATTTCATTGTAATAATTGCCTTTGTCTTCTCAAGCTGCTCTTTGAAATCTTCTGTTCAGCTCTTTTATCTTGTTATTTCTTCTGTGTGCTTTAGCTACTCTCCAGTCAAGAGCAAGTTTCACAGTCTGTTCTGACATCCATTTTGGTCTTTTCTTCATTTCCTATCTTTTTAATGACCTTTAGTTTCCTTCATGTATGATGTTCTTGATGTCATCCCACAACTCATCTGATTTTTGGTCATTGGTATCTAATGCATCAAATCTTTACTTTAGATAGTCTCTAAATTCGGGTGAAATATAATCAAGGTCACATGTTGGTTCTTATGGACTTGTTTTAATTGTCTTAAGCTTCAATTTGAACTTGCATATGAGCAACTGATGACATATTTCACTGTCAGCTCCTGGCCTTGTTTTGGCCTCTTTTCACAGATGTAGTTGACCTGATTCCTGTGTATTCCATCTGGGAAGGTCCAAGTGTACAGCCACCATTTATGTTATTGAAAAACAAGGTATTTGCAATGAACAAATCATTGGTCTTGCAAAATTCTATCATGAGATCTCAGGCATCATTTCTATCACCAAGGCCATATTTTCCAACTGCCAGTGATTCTTCTTTGTTTCCAAATTTCACATTCTTATCACCAGTAATAATCAATACATCTTGATTGCATGTTCAGTCAATTTTGGACTGTAGAAGTTGGTAAAAATTTTCAATTTCCTCATCTTTAGCTTTGGTGATTGGTGCATAAATTTTAATAATAATAGTATTAACTGGTCTTCCTTATAAACCAAAACCAAGCCAAACTGACTACTGTTGGGTCGGATCCAACTCATAGTGACCCCTCCTTGGGTTTCTGAGGCAGTATCATTATGAATGTAGATTGCCCAATCTTCCTTCCGAGGAGTGACTGGTGGGTTTGAACCACCAGCCTTCTGGTTAGGAGTCAAAATGCCTTAGGCACTATGCCATTATCCTACCACTGCTAGCATTGTACTTCAGGATAGATCTTGAAACATTCTTT